ATGACTTAACAGCAGGGAGTTGGCCTGAGTCAACGGGCACGAGGATGGAGCTGCTCTCAGCACATAGATCAGCAAAGAACTGGCTGCTTGGGCGAATGACACTGAACATGAACAAGAGCAAGCAGCTCATCACCCAGACACACGTTTCTGATGATAGATTTTGAGGGACATATAGACAGACAGACACACGCTGAAGCTACAGCCTGGAAGAGAGGCACATCCCTGCGCCAGCTGCCATGGCCCGAGTGAGGAAACGGTCTTTAAAAGCCACAAGCCAGCGCATTCACAGGGCTCAGTGCGAGGGGGCGCAGGCCGGCCTGCACGCTGGCATCCTGCTGCGCCCGGCGCTCTGGAGCGCAGCGCTCTCCTCCAAGGACACTCTGCACTTCATTTGGCCTTCGCAACCACCAAGTTAATAGCAACACTGCTTCCAAAAAAACAAAAATCCCAATCAAACTCCAAGTTTTGCCAGGAAGAAGGTTAAAAAAAAAAAAAAGAAAGAAAAGAAACTCCTCAGTCCCTGCATCATCTGCAGCATGCAGGGTTTAGCACTAACGCAGGGTTCATGACCACGGAGAAGCCTCAGCTGGAGGAGCTGCTGTCTCCTCCATAGTGCCCCGCCTCCGCAAGGAGCCCGTGCAAGAAAAGCACTCGGCCTGCACCGGCCTGCGGCCACTACCGCCCCACACGGCGCAGTGATCGTGGCCCTCTGCCTCCCGGCCCGGCCCAGCTCCCGTGGGAAGGCAGGGACACCCTGAACAGCGCTGCCTGTCCCCCAGCACTGCACATTTCAAACTTCTCCCTGACTTTAGCTTAAAGACACAGATAGGTTATTCCCCCGTCCCACAATTACATGAAGTTTTGTCCTAGAGTTTGGCCTAGAATGCAAAACAGTGTTTCTCACGGTGGTGAAAAGTAATGATGCACAGTGGGGGAAGGACATGAATAGCCACCCAACCCCCAAGAATAGGATGTTTCCCAGCCACACCTCCACCCTGGGACACTGAGGTGGAGAAATGCCACTTTCTAACAAAATAGCAAATAGCACCGGGCTGCTGCGCTTAGCTGGTTTTCTGCTAGCAGCAGCCTTGGAGTATGAGGGTTGCTCGGTCTTCACTGCTGGCATCTCCCCTCGTTTCCCTCTCAGACCTGCACTTTTGGGTGGATTTCGCTCTGCTCTGGTGCACCTTGTGGTCCTTGGGCCCCAGAGTCTGCGAAACACTGCGGGGACCCATCTGTGGGTACCTCCTCGCATGTGCCACTCCCCCCAGATCTACCGAGACTGGGCAGGTCTGCTAAATTCCTGCGAGATGAGGAGGTGTCCTGCTGAGTAAGTTTTTCACCATTCTTCACAAATTTCATCAACCCCAATGATGATGTAACTTTTTTTTTTTTCTCCACATAACTAGCTAATAAATAATGAGCAACTTTGAGTCAGAGGTACCTTTTGCAGCATTGTGATGCACTTAAGTCAGAGGCCTCAGCACCACTTCTTCTCAAACTGTATCGCAGGACAGGTCCTCCACCAGAGGAGGGACATGCAGCAGTACCAGCAATCTGCACAGAGGCCTTGCCGGCCTCACTCTGTTCAGGGCAGGACACCTGAAACCTGCCTCTTCTTGCTGTAAGTCTGGGGGAGAAAATTGCAGTCTCCTGCACCTCTGCCCACGGCACTACGAAACAGAACAAGAGTCTGTACCCTGAATGTTGTTTCTTGAGAGCATTGGAGCTTCACAAACAAACAGCTGTAGCCTCAGCCTAACCCCGATGAAAGCAATTTATGTGAGCAGAAAGTCTGGAGCAAATAATGAAGGCATGAGACTAAGCAAAAATATTTGTGAATTTATTGAGACTACTTTGAAATATCAGCTTGTTTTTTCAGGGCATATTTATTTACTCTTTAGGCAAAGGGTGAGCACATTATTTCTTAGTTGTGTTGCATTTGGACCTATATCTGTGGTAATGGTGACTTTGCTTGCCAAATGTCTCCTTTTCTCAGGGTGTCCATATCTGCAGCAGCAGATGGCCTTGCTTCCAGTGGGCAGGTTTTATATCTGTTTCGAGGGGGAAGATCTTAGTAGCTCAGCCACCGTCCTTCAGCTTGACAAGTCACAACTCCATGGTAAATATCTCTTTCTTCTTTGAGTTATTACAGCTGTGCAGGATTTCTATTCAATAGTCAAAAATGTTTCCATTAAAATGGAAATTAGCTATATTAGCTGTGTAGATAACATTGTAACATCTTTCATGGCAGTTTAGTAAGGCAGGGAACACGGCAATGTACTGTTGAGGTTTTATAGCACAATACATGAATTCAAAGCAGTAACTTCAGGTGTTTTGGGACTACAGAAATGAGAGGCATGAGCTTAACTGAGAGGGAGCGGAGACAATCCCCTCACAAGAGTTCTCGCTCCTCTGCTGAGCTTGGTGTGAGCTGCTCTTTGTGATGCCCAGCTCTCGCCCAGCGTTCGTTAACAAGGCCTTGCTGAGGCCGCCAGGGCCCTGCTTAGCCACAGGCGGTCATTTAGTGCCATCTAGTGGGTAGCAGGACACAGGAACGTTACCATTTGCCTCAAAATTAGTTTTAGGACCTTAAGGCATTCATGGGAGTCCATGAGAAGAACATGGAGGTACTGAAAGTCAGCTGTGCCACTATGGAGGCAGATTGAAGCTTGTGATGTTTAAAATAAATATGTAGCAAGCAATTTATAAATGCCTACTGAGAAAGGACTCAACCCTCTGGTCAGACCTGAAGTGGAATTTGTGACCAAAGATATACTAATCACCAACCTAACTGCACGTGACAATTACAATTTAATGCACTGGAAAAGGTTGGGTCTACACCGATCCCTTAGTGTGAAGATATATTCTTGACTGAGAGAAAGCCTTACAGTTCTCCCTCTCAATTCCCATGCGATGCAAAGCAATAAAAGTAACAAACTCCTGGACAATAAGGAAACACATCATACCTTAAGTCGCATTGAAGCAATTTTTCAAGTTAAATATAAATACAAAATATTATATAAACAGCTACTCTAAGACTACTCAGCTGCTCAGTTATTTTAAGAACAGTGCTTTGTACCAGTACGAGAAGAGCATACCTACCTATCATTTTATAAGACAGAGCTTATTCTTGAGAAAAAAAAAAGGTGGGGGTGGGAGGGGGAGTCATGGATTGCATATCTGTTTCTGCTCCAACACAAGCTTTTGAAGCCGTCCCAAAGGCTGAACTTGGGCTGCAGACGGAGGCTTCTCTTCTACTAGGGGCTTTTTGTAAGACAAAGAGGACACCTGGAAGATGAACTTAGAAGCAATGTTATCCTGCCACAGGTAGAGCTGTCAAACTGCATAATGGTGCTGTGCCTTGTCAGTAATTATTTTCCTGGATCTACTTTTCCACAGCATCCTAACAGCAATGGATCAGGCAAAGCAGACAGAAAAGAATAAGCATGTGTTTCAGCTCCTCCCACCTTCATTTTCAAGTCTTATTTAAGAAAGCAACAGAACTTTTTTTTTTTTTTTTACAGAAGCATTTTTAATTACTTTCCATATACAAATTAAGGAAACACACACAAAAATCCATTACTTCCACAGTGAAGGCAAAATAAAAGCACAAATTACCATTTCAGAATTACTGTAAAGAAAGAGTAAACAGTGTGGAAAGAATAAAAAAAGCTTTTCAATTCCATTTTCTGTAAAATTACACATGGAATAGAACCTTACAGACAGACACATGCAGCTCCCAGTGAAAAAAAAATCCAGTGCAAAATAATTTTAAACTCATGTATTACCAGAATGCAATATAAATAAACTCAAATTTGGAAATAATCTTCATATTTTATTTTTCTCTTCAGTAACAGGAAGAAAATGACATAAAAATATTCAAGTATGTGTTTTTTCCCCCCTCCATAGCATTAACACTTTGCAGCTTTAGTGATTCTAAAAGTGATATTTTGAAGTTCTAGTGTCTGTTATTGCTCAAAGGCTCCACACAAGATATAGTAGTAATGTAAATGAAATGCATTTACCCAATTCTTTTACTTGCAGATTAACCCCTCTGATTCTGCTGCACCAGGGAGGCTCTGTGATTACATGGTGAGTTATAGCTCTTGTTATGAGCCCTGGGAAATAATTCCCAAACTGCTTCACGTTCACAGAGCACACACACAAAAAAAGGAAAAATTTAGCTTCAAGCAAAATCATTATACTCTGCATTTACTTTGAGTACTATTGAGAGCTGTGCTGTATTCTTCACAGAATCAGGCTTTAGAGTAGAGCAGTATTTCAGTTCACAGCTCCAATTAAAAAAAGTCCCATGATGAGTTTGGGCTAGTTCACAGTCTTATCAACAGGTAGAGTTGCGACAGTAGGGCTGACTCCGCTTTAAGGAACTTACTTAATTGCTCCATTAAAGCAGATATGGAAAAACTTTATTTTAAAAGGAATCAGTGGTCTGAGACTACATAAATTAATTGGCATAAAAAACCCAACAATTATACACATTGATTATACTAGCTTAAATGGACTCAAATTTATATTTAGTTGGAAACAGTGTGTCAGTCCTGCTGCAGATAGCCTTAAGAACACCAGACAATGCAGTTTTCCAATGAGACATACAGGAGAGTATCCATTTATTGGCACCAAAGAAAGCAGACAGTTCTTGACCAGTTGATTTAGTTGCCAACTCCACCACTGATTCTAACAGCTGAATCATCCAAAAATTTACGAATAACACCAACACTGCAGTAACATATGTTTCTGGGTAACCACTTCCTTTCAAATGCGATTGGGCTCTTTATCAAACCAATGCAGCAATCTCTTCCAAGGTAGCTCATTTAGAGCGTTTTGATTATCGTTTTTAATTAGTACCATTCAACAGAAGTATAAAAACAGGACCAAGTTAAATAGCCTCATAATTAAATGTTAATGATAAAAAGGTCCAAGGGTAAATGGCCCCATAGGTGCTGCTCAGGAGATCAGAAATGTTTTATAAATCATTTTTCACAGTATTTAAGTTGTCCTGAGTAGTAGGTAGCAGGTTATGACAGCTGGCCACAGTCAGTAATGACGATCTTTTTGGAGGTCTTCCCACTTCTTGAGCCAAAGCTCTCAATTTTCTTCACAACATCCATTCCTTCCTTTACATGCCCAAAAACAACATGTTTTCCATCTAGCCTGTAACAGAAATAACAAAGGCAGATTTACTTAAAATAATAATAGAAAGCCTAAACCAAACTAAGCTCTGTGAAAGTATAGTAGCAGATCTTTAACAGTGGTCACCTGCTGATCATCTCTGATTAAGAAAAAAGAAAAAACTACTTTGCAAGTGACCAAAAAATTTTAGCTCTGGACCACATGATCCTTATGAGAGATAGCAGACTTGTTTTGCTTGAAACCCATTGCTTAAAGCTTTCCATATTGCTCCAGACAACAGAAGGAACAATGAATATCCTATGGGCAGCTAGGATGTGGCAATAACCTAGGTTATGCTCTGAATGCCACACCGATGCTGCAAATGCACTCCTGAAACCCTGTAAATGTTTCAACAGCATAGCATATATCTTCAGTTTCTGCTGCAAACATTACCTTTTTTAGAATGAATCTTAGAAGAGAGATTCCAGGTCATGAACTTAATGGTAACTACTTAAATTCAGTATTTTTTAATTTCTGTAACAGGCCATTAGATTCACCAGGTTCCACTTTATACTTAGAAAATGGAAAATCTTGATAAGGGTGAGCACAGCACTGAAAGAAATGGAAGTAAACTAAGCCAGAAGCAGACCACTACATCCAAAAACAGGGGAGGTGAAATTGAGACAACATTGCACAGTGTCTCTATAAAGCAAATTGTTACCCTCCCTGCTCTCCTCTCACTTTGCACCAAACAATATAATTTCCTTCATAAGTCAAGTAATGTGGAAAATAAACACAAACCAAACCCCTCCAAACTCTCTGGATCCAGGTATTGACTTATGGGGCTAAACCTACCAGTCAGTTTTTGCAGTGCAGATGAAGAACTGAGATCCATTGGTATTGGGTCCTGCATTGGCCATTGAAAGGACACCTGGAAGAGCAGCAGCTTATTACATTGGTCTCGTTGCAGGGAAGACGACAGTTTTCTACTACAGATTCAGGCTAACAGTAACATCAGCACTAGACACAGAGGCAACGGTCACATTGTTTCCCATCTATTTCTAATGCTGACCTCTTCCTATCTTTTATTATTCCATCCAGCCCAACCTCTCTGCTACTTTCTCCAAGACAACGAGGCTGACTGTATGTACTTGTACAAATCTGGAACTGGATTAATAGCAGGTAACTTTCACTCTGGCTCAAAACTCAATAGCAGCACTTTCTTGGTATGAAAGAGTAACAATCCAAATCAGGCTATAGATTCAATCAGATGTTATTATGGATGAGTTTCCATTAAAGCTTACAGATTTAACTTGAGCTTAAAAGGACCTGCCTGTGTTAAGTAGTAGATAAGAAATTCCAGACTGACTTAAGTTGGTTAAAAGCAGTAGTTACAACTTCGTAATATTTTTTTTAAGTAAAACAAGCTAGTTTTACTTATTTTGCATAGTCAAGCACAAAGTGGCAGTGTCACCTACAGTGAGCAGACTTATGCGACTAGTCACACTAGTGATGCTAAACCTCAGTAATATCTTTGTAATTACAAATTGCCCCACATATCTAAAATACCTATTCCTTTAAATATTTCTTTATGACAATGTATCATTATATGCCATAGTCATCAGAAGTAAGATAAAAAATATGATGATTTACCAGGTCCTACATGCTTCAGTATGAAATTTTCATCTTGAAACCTGCTGCCATAAATGGATTTTCCACCTGTCCCATTATGGTTTGTAAAGTCACCACCCTGAAACAGAACCAACTATTAACTTTACTAGCATACAGGAATTATTTTATATCAGGACTTGCACTATTGAAAACAACCACCTGTTGCAAGTAATAACCAGTGACTTCACTTCCAGCAATCTGTGGCCTTCTCCCAGCAGCAACACTACCCCCTGGTGACCAAGAGCCCATCCCCAGTGTTTCACATGATGGTCACCTCCCTGATGTCACCTTGAGCCATCTCCTACATGTGATGTTCCCACAGGTCCTGTGAAACCCCACGCTGGGTGTCACTCAGAGGCACCTGAACAGTCAGGGCCTGCAGGTGACAGTACCAATTAGGGCATGCCAGCACCCTGAATCACATTAACACACCACCCCAACAAGCAGGGTGCCTCTCCTGTTTAGTCCTGCTTTAAAATAGTTTAAACCGATGACACTCTTACCACTTATGCAATTAATACAACAACAAACATTAGTTTATCATCTCCTCATATAGGAGTCCCCCGCCTACATTTGTGGGGACAAAACAGGCAGGAAATGCAGACTTGCTTACACAGAACTTCATAAGTATGAACTGAACTGGCAAAACTGAGATTGGGATTTGTATATTTATCACTATATATATTTTTTTATGAAACCAGTAAGACTTCAGCACTTTGGCTCTGTCTCAGCACATTAAAAACCTGGTTTGCATTTCAAATGCAAGAAAAGTCTTTTACAGCACGCTTCTCCCCTTTCTCTTCTTATAAATAGGTCATAGGATGATAACAGGCCTCCTGCTCAGAGTAGTCTATTTTAAACTTTAAATAAATGAACAGGGGGACACCAAGGTCATGACTTAAAAAAGAAAATGTGTTTACCACTGCTCAAGCTGTTTTCAAAGCCATTCTACAATGCAACACTGTTAAAAACTAGTTTCTTTTAAGGAAGGCAGGGTTACCAGGAATCATACAATCCAGTGCACTGCAGTGACAGAAATCCTGTCCACCTGCCAAAAGCACTGTGGGTTTGAAAATCAAAATAATCAGAAGTCTTCTCCCTCTCCTCCCATAAAAAAGTAAACAAGCAAACAGAAAACTGCTGTTAAGCACAGCCTTTTTATAAGAATTTAAAAACATTCATCTTTTCAATCAGAATTACCTTTACAAACAAAATCCTCTTTAGGTTTGCCATCCTTAAAATATATCTCAGCCTACTTGGCTTCCCTTCCCTCTTCTCCTCCCAATTAGAGAGATGGTCAGAGAGAAGAAAAAAGCCACACACACAGGCACCACAAACCACACACATTTTGAAACCCCTATCTGCTCTGAACAGATTATGCTGCTAAGAATACAAAGTAGAAGCATTGTTTCCTTAGCTCACTTACAGCACAAGGTTGTTTGCAATTCTACACACAAGCTTCTCCCAAGTGCCACTTGGCCAAATATGCCCCATAATAAAGTTTACTGCTCTATAAAAACCCAGAGCCTCAAGTCAGTTTTAAGCCACTCCATATAGAACTTGCATTTGCTTGTACAAATGACATGCTAAGCAACAGCCACAGAGCAAAGATCAGAATTACAAGCCATACTCCTGTCTTTATTCTGTAGGTAGCCAAGGTTACAGCAGGTGTTACTACCAGCCTAGCCAGCTAATTCTACAGCTATCTACCTACATAAAACATACGAAAATTTCATAGAAAAAAAAAAAAAAGAAATCCATTACCTGGCACATAAATGAAGGAATCACTCTGTGAAATGTGGATCCTTTATACCCAAAACCTTTCTCACCAGTACAAAGAGCTCTGAAGTTTTCTGTGAAAACAAGAGGCAGGAGTAGTATGTTGCCACACTTTACATGTAATGTGTTCAAATTCAGGCAAGTTAATTAGGTCCTGACTTCAAATTCTTCAAAAAGTTTATTATACCTTTAGGGTATTATTGATCTTTTAATTGTTTTCATCTTTGAAAAATAGTTTAATATAAAGCTGAGGAAACAAAACTTGTTTTTATCCTCAGAACCAGCTACAAATGCAATCCTTGTCGCTCTCACTTCCATTTTGCTGAGATTTCTCAACTAAAACACAACAACAAAAAATTCTGAAAGTCTAAGACTCCACTTCCTGCCTTTTAAGTTTTCGGTCTCTCTGTTAATTGGGAAAGGGATGCTTTTCTCATAGGATACTCATTCACAAGGGAAAATAAAATGGAAATTTCTCAGGACCACTAGAAACAGTGAGGAAGGAAGCACATAAAGAGAAAAGCTATCAAAAACAGAACCACATGTACACTGATCAGTCAGTGACAAGAACAAACCATGTGTGTTCTTAGCAGTCTCTAAGGGCCATTATCCATTTGATTTACCCTTCTCTATTTGTTTTGGGGTTTGATTTTAATGAAAACTAATGGGTGCCCAACCATATTTATACATCACTGACAGCCTTAACATACATGTACTTCTGTCTTTGCTCACAAATTGTAAAGCAGAACTATCTGGAAAAAAAAAAGCTTACAAGAAATCATAACCTCATCAACACAATTTTTGACACTTAGGTCACACTTTTATATTTAAAAAGCAGGAAAGGAACACAGAAATAACATCTAAAAGTAATAGATTTTTTTCCCAGCAAATCACAATCTATATCATAAATTAAGGCATAAAACCCTCCAGATATGGCCTTACCTGCCGTCTTCGGGACCACATCAGCTTTCAGCTGTGAGAGAAAAGCAGACAGTGAGGCAGTAAGTCCCCCTTTCAGCAGCACGTGGCGAACGCGCCGCACGGAGGCCAGCGCAGCCAAACCCTCTGCATAGATTTTTTTCCCAGCAAATCACAATCTATATCATAAATTAAGGCATAAAACCCTCCAGATATGGCCTTACCTGCCGTCTTCGGGACCACATCAGCTTTCAGCTGTGAGAGAAAAGCAGACAGTGAGGCAGTAAGTCCCCCTTTCAGCAGCACGTGGCGAACGCGCCGCACGGAGGCCAGCGCAGCCAAACCCTCTGCGGGAACGGACTCGCCCCAAACCGCGAGCTGCCCCAAACGCCACAGGGCGCTGTTTGACTTTGCAAGCGGTTCGCCAGTAACTAGCTACCACCTTTCCAACCCGCTTTGGGCTCGCCAGCAGAGCCGGCCCCAGCGCAGCCGCCAAGGTGACACCGCGACGCGCCCCGCCAG